AGCCACCGTAAGCGTGAACAATCAATTAAGACCCCTGAAATGGTTGATCAACTCCTTCCAATGATTGCTCAGCCAGAATCCATCTTCTCGGTCGGAATTGTCTCTCTTGCGTTTGTGCATGTGGGTAGCCGGGGGCTTATGGGACCCCGAGGTCCCGTTATGAGGGTCATTTGGCTGCCGCTTGTCTGCGGGGAGAGAGCTACACAGCATCTCAAAAGTCGCTGGTATACAGACTTTACCGAAGGAACCAAGAATATGGATTGCGGCAGTCACGAAAAATTCAAATCGTTCATTTGAGAAGCCAGGCTCCCCCTATAGCAGCGGGCCCCAGCCGGCACCAGCGACCGGGGCCGTGGAAGACAATTTTTTTTCACGGAACCTTGGAGGGGGGTAGGGGTCATCATTGGGTCTTTCCCCCTTTTCAAAGAAGCTCTCCAGCCACGTTTGTTTGTTTTTTACTCATTGTGGGCTACTAGGGGTTAGAGCTTGTGGGCTACTAGGGGTTAGAGCTTGTGGGCTACTAGGGGTTAGCTTGTGGGCTACTAGGGGTTAGAGCTTGTGGGCTACTAGGGGTTAGAGCTTGTGGGCTACTAGTGGTTAGCTTGTGGGCTACTAGGGGTTAGAGCTTGTGGGCTACTAGGGGTTAGAGCTTGTGGGCTACTAGTGGTTAGCTTGTGGGCTACTAGGGGTTAGCTTGTGGGCTACTAGGGGTTAGAGCTTGTGGGCTACTAGGGGTTAGAGCTTGTGGGCTACTAGGGGTTAGCTTGTGGGCTACTAGGGGTTAGTTTGTGGGCTACTAGGGGTTAGAGCTTGTGGGCTACTAGGGGTTAGAGCTTGTGGGCTACTAGGGGTTAGAGCTTGTGGGCTACTAGGGGTTAGCTTGTGGGCTACTATGGGTTAGTTTGTGGGCTACTAGGGGTTAGCTTGTGGGCTACTAGGGGTTAGAGCTTGTGGGCTACTAGGGGTTAGCTTGTGGGGTACTAGGGGGTTAGTTTGTGGGCTACTAGGGGTTAGCTTGTGGGCTACTAGGGGTTAGAGCTTGTGGGCTACTAGGGGTTAGCTTGTGGGCTACTAGGGGTTAGAGCTTGTGGGCTACTAGGGGTTAGCTTGTGGGCTACTAGGGGTTAGAGCTTGTGGGCTACTAGGGGTTAGAGCTTGTGGGCTGCTAGGGGTTAGAGCTTGTGGGCTACTAGGGGTTAGCTTGTGGGCTACTAGGGGTTAGAGCTTGTGGGCTACTAGGGGTTAGCTTGGGGGCTACTAGGGGTTAGAGCTTGTGGGCTACTAGGGGTCAGCTTGTGGGCTACTAGGGGTTAGAGCTTGTGGGCTACTAGGGGTTAGAGCTTGTGGGCTACTAGGGGTTAGAGCTTGTGGGCTACTAGGGGTTAGAGCTTGTGGGCTGCTAGGGGTTAGAGCTTGTGGGCTACTAGGGGTTAGAGCTTGTGGGCTGCTAGGGGTTAGAGCTTGTGGGCTACTAGGGGTTAGCTTGTGGGCTACTAGGGGTTAGAGCTTGTGGGCTACTAGGGGTCAGCTTGTGGGCTACTAGGGGTCAGCTTGTGGGCTACTAGGGGTTAGAGCTTGTGGGCTTTACCAACACCACGTGACTGAGACTGAGCGCGCAGTGATCTAAATTATTCTTCTTCCTCCTATAGGTTCAGTGACAACGTCGTTCTGCTGCTCTATGTGAGATTGGATTGGAAGCTGGTGGATTGCTTCACTATTCTGGCAGACCGGCAGACGATGATGCTGGATGTAATTTCCGGCGAAACTTCGTTACGACTGAAATTTTTTTAAAAAAACGTCGTGGATTTACGCGATTTTTGGACGATGTTTGACACCCACCCCCCCCCCACTCCCACCCCACCACCACCCTCCTCGTCACACGGCGTCACAAAAAACTCAGACCCCCCCCCTCCCCTCAAATATGACGTCACAAAGCTCTGCCCCACGCCCCCCCCGAAAACCATATTTTCAAAACAAAAACACGCTTCAAATCGCTTTAAACTATTGTCACATTGTAGCGTGGCGCATTTAATGCGGCGCTTACACTCTTGATGTTGTAGGAGAAAACATTCATTTAACAAAAAGTCTATTGAATTAAGCAGAACGTGTTTGTCTTTATTTATTTATAAAGTTGCGCATTTTTACGTGACGTCACATTTCTCAAACCCCCCTAGGTGCGTGACGTCATTTATGGACGATCCCCCAACACATAATTCATAGTTCCATAGTTCATTTATTTCGGTATGGCCCTGTGAGCCATTCGGTTCTTGAATCAGGTGCAACCGCAACAAACAAAAAACACGAACAAGAAAACATCTTAAAGTGACTTTGTGTGACTGTGCAAAACAGAAAATACAGGAACAAAAATATCAAAATATTCCTGAAATAGCACCGTACACCAACGCTGTGTGCAAAAATCCCAGTGGGATGCAAGTCAAACAACAACAACAACAACCACAAGACAACTAAGATTAAGGCCATCAGTCTAACTCCATACTAGAATAAACAAAAACATGGCCAAAACAAAAAAAACTTTTCGAAATCACCAAAATAAAAGCCATCAATGCAATGTAACAGTGATCATAGGGACTGTGACCGAATTTTTAACAACTACATGAATAAATTATAACACCAAAATCTAGAGCCATATTTTAGGCCACTGAATAGCAGTGGCAGCTAGGGTTGTACAACTCCTCTAGAGCAGTTTTGAGTGAAGATCTCATAGGTAGTGATTCAAGTTGCAGTTTATTGGCAATAGCATTCCAGACCCTGGGGGCATCAATAGCAAAGGCCCTTCCTCCAGTTTTTGTACGGCAATAGGGAATGTGAAGCTGGTAAATGAGCGAAGACCTGAGGTCAAATTTGTTCTTTGAAACAGAGAGGAGATCCAGTAGGTAGTCTGCGGAATTTTTTGTAAGTACATCGTGAATAAATAAGATAATCTGGTGCACAAGCCGTCGAACATTAAGAGATGTTAAGTTTGACCCAATGTAGAGATCACAGTGGTCAGTCCTATATGGGCAGTTCAATGCAAATCTTAAGGCCGAGTGATAGATGGAATCAAGCTTCTTCAGTACAGTACTTGGGGCTGATTTATACACAATGCCACAGTAGTCAAGTAGAGGCAGTATGGTAGCTTTTATCAATTCCAAACGGAACATTGGGGGGAAGCAGTGCTTGTGTCGATACAGAAAACCAATTTTTATTTTTGTCTTTTTACCAATATAATCAATGTGATCTTCAAAACTAAGTTTTTAATCCAGGATGACCCCAAGATACTTATAGATCTTGACTTGCTCTATTTGATAATTATTCAAGGAATGTAATTGGGGAAAAATAACTTCCTGCTTTAGTCCCGGAGAGAAGCATAGCACCTTGGTTTTGGAGGTATTCGGGACTAGTTTAAGAGAAACTAGCTGATGTTGTAGTTTGTTGAAATCACCCTGGAGCTTAGCAATCACGTCATCCGGAGAGCGGCCAGCAGTAATCAGTATCGTGTCATCTGCAAAAAGATTTACCCTGGAATGATCCAGTTCAGTGCCCAAGTCATTGACATAAAGAGAGAACAAGAGGGGGCCGAGGATGGAACCCTGTGGAACCCCTTTTGTTATCTTAACACTGTTTGACCTCCAACCATCTGTGAATACAGTTTGGGTGCGAGAAAAGAGGTAATTTTTTAACCATTGTACTGTGTTTTCGGAAAAACCGAGGCAACTTAGTTTACTAAGCAGGGTGTTGTGGTCTACTGTATCAAAAGCTTTGGACAGGTCAAGAAAAAGACAGGCACAGTACTGCTTATTATCAAGGCTATTGTAAATTTGATTCAAAGAGTCTAATGCAGCAGATGTGGTGCTCTATTTTTTCCGGAACCCAGATTGTTTTAGATGTAGTAGATTGTTGGTGGACAGGAAACTGCTAATTTGGTAGTTCAATAATTTTTCAAAAATTTTCATCAATGGGGACAAAATTGAGATAGGTCGGTAGTTATTGGGATCATCTTTAGGGCCCCCTTTGTGAAGTGGACGGACATTCTAGAGGAACTGATGCTTCTTTGATGGACAGGTTGAAAATATGGGCTATAGGTTTGTATATTAGGTGACCAACAGTTAGTAGAGCAAAGACGGGAAAACTATCTGCTCCGGTAGAGGAGGACCCTTTGAGGTAGGACAGATGTTTCAGAACATTACTTTCGTGGATTGGTTGGAAACTAAATTCGTTTAATGTTTGGACAGGGGTGTAGGAATTTGCATGAGCAGGGGTGACTCCCAATACATTATCAAAAAGATCACCAGCTTCAGAAAAATGAAGGTTAAAATTGTCAACTATTTTTTTGGGGATCTGAAAAATATTCCCCATTTCGGTGAAGCTCAACGGGCAGATTTTCTGTTTTGGATGCCTTTTCGATAGATTTGATTGTTTCCCAAAAAAATCCTGGCATTTCCATGTGATTCCAGGAGAGTGGAGGAAAAGTTGGGCATTTTTTGCATGCCGTATTTTTTTTTACGCATCTATTCCTTAAAATCCTGTACTCTAGGCCAGTCATTTACCAAATTACTTTTTTTCTGAGCACATGCCCAAGCCTTGTCCCTAGTTTTCATGAGCTTTGTAATCAAAGGAATCAAACCATCGTGGGCGGTTGCCTTTAGTTTTAAATCTAACCAACGGAGCACGTTCGTTAAGAATTTGGAGAAACGTGTACCTGAAAGTCTCCCAAGCGGTGGGCTGAAGAAGCAACTAATTTCGCGTTTTGTCTGTGTCTCATTATCAATAATATCGGTCAATTGAATATCTCATTAAAGCCAACGCGCATTTCGCGTCTCTGCGCATGCGCCAGATCACAAGGACCACGTGACCGGGCTCGCTCCTTATATGGGGCTTAGGGCCACGTTTAACATTCCTCCGCCGATGCGTGCTGAATCGATTCCTATGTTAATATTCAGTTTCGAATCCACCAAAAATATATAACGGCCGGGAATCGATTTCCGATTCGGCCACGGGTGCTTAGGCGGATTGCCTAGGGACTCGAACGGAAATTTTATAAGAATCGATGCATCGCGGGGGAATCGATTCCGCGGTCGGAACCGCGAGTGTGTAATCGACCAAGCCGGATCGATTCCGGGGTAATTGATCGGTCCACAACTAACGGTGAGTCGGAGTTTAGATACAGTCTACAAATACAGTCTACAAATACAGTCTATAATTACTATATAGTCTATAAACACAGTCTATAATTACTATAAGTCTACAAATACAGTCTACAAATACAGTCTATAATTACTATACAGTCTATAAACACAGTCTAATTACTATACAGTCTAAAAACACAGTCTATAATTACTATACAGTCTATAAATACAGTCTATAAACACAGTCTATAATTACTATACAGTCTATAAATACAGTCTACAAATACAGTCTACAAATACAGCCTATAATTACTATACAGTCTATAAACACAGTCTATAATTACTATAAGTCTATAAACACAGTCTATAATTACTATACAGTCTATAAACACAGTCTATAATTACTATACAGTCTATAAACAGTCTATAAAGTACCCTGTGTACTGACAGTACTGTGGCAAGTACCCACAGTAGAACGTACAGCAGTCTGTACTACAAAGTTTATAAATATATTAAATATACAGTCTATAAATATAGTCTATAATTACTATACAGTCTTTAAACACAGTCTATAAACACAGTCTATAATTACTACACAGTCTATAAACACAGTCTATAATTACTATACAGTCTATAAACAGTCTATAATTACTATACAGTCTATAAATACAGTTTATAATTAATATACAGTCTACAAATACAGTCTATAATTACTATACAGTCTATAAACACAGTCTATAATGATTACAGTCTATAACACACAGTCTATAATTATTACACAGTCTATAAACACAGTCTATAATTATTACACAGTCTATAAAGACAGTTTATTAGACAGTCTATAAAGACAGTCTATAATTATTACACAGTCTATAAAGACAGTCTATAATTATTACACAGTCTATAAAGACAGTCTATAATTATGACACAGTCTATAAGACAGTCTATAATTATTACACAGTCTATAAACACAGTCTATAATTATTACACAGTCTATAAACACAGTCTATAATTATTACACAGTCTATAAACACAGTCTATAATTATTACACAGTCTATAAACACAGTCTATAATTATTACAGTCTATAACACACAGTCTATAATTATTACACAGTCTATAAACACAGTCTATAATTATTACACAGTCTATAAACACAGTCTATAAAGACAGTCTATAATTATTACATAGTCTATAAGACAGTCTATAATTATTACACAGTCTATAAACACAGTCTATAATTATTACAGTCTATAACACACAGTCTATAATTATTACACAGTCTATAAAGACAGTCTATAAAGACAGTCTATAAAGACAGTCTATAAACACAGTCTATAATTATTACACAGTCTATAAAGACAGTCTATAAAGACAGTCTATAAACACAGTCTATAAACACAGTCTATAATTATTACACAGTCTATAAAGACAGTCTATAAAGACAGTCTATAATTATTACACAGTCTATAATTATTACACAGTCTATAAACACAGTCTATAATTATTACACAGTCTATAAACACAGTCTATAAAGACAGTCTATAAAGACAGTCTATAAACACAGTCTATAATTATTACACAGTCTATAAACACAGTCTATAAAGACAGTCTATAAACACAGTCTATAAACACAGTCTATAATTATTACACAGTCTATAAAGACAGTCTATAAAGACAGTCTATAATTATTACACAGTCTATAAACACAGTCTATAATTATTACACAGTCTATAAAGAAGTCTATAATTATTACACAGTCTATAAAGACAGTCTATAAAGACAGTCTATAAAGACAGTCTATAATTATTACACAGTCTATAATTATTACACAGTCTATAAACACAGTCTATAATTATTACACAGTCTATAAACACAGTCTATAAAGACAGTCTATAAAGACAGTCTATAAGACAGTATATAATTATTACACAGTCTATAAACACAGTCTATAATTATTACAGTCTATAAAGACAGTCTATAATTATTACACAGTCTATAAGACAGTCTAGAATTATTACACAGTCTATAAACACAGTCTATAATTATTACACAGTCTATAAAGACAGTCTACAAAGACAGTCTATAAAGACAGTCTATAAGACAGTCTATAATTATAACTCAGCGTGCGTTGACTGCAGTTGGTACAGTACTGACAGTACATAGCCCAGTATTGCTCACTGACAGTATAGTATTGACTACTGTAGTTAGTGATGACTGTAGTGTATTGTAGAGTGTCACTGACAGTATGGAGTACTGTCAGTGTGTACTGTAGGCAATGGAGGGCCTGCTGCTGCTGCCGCTGATGCTGCTGATGTTGGCCGGGTTCGGAGCTTCAGGACCCGAGTTCGAACCGCCTCGTGGAGCACCACGTGGTCTGGCGAGTGCTAGGGTGGAGGTAAAGTGGGTGGGTGGGTGAGTGAGTGGGTGGGTGAGTGGGTGAGTGGGTGAGTGGGTGGGTGAGTGGGTGAGTGGGTGGGTGGGTGGGTATGTGAGTGAGTGGGTGGGTGGGTGAGTGGATGAGTGGGTGAGTGGGTGAGTGAGTGGGTGGGTGGGTGGATGGGTGGATGGGTGGATGGGTGAGTGGGTGGGTGAGTGGGTGGGTAAGTGGGTGAGTCTGGTGAGTAAGTGAGTGGGTGGGTCGGTGAGTGGGTGGGTGAGTATCTGAGTGGGTGGGTGGATGGGTGGGTGAGTGAGTGGGTGGGTGAGTGAGTGGGTGGGTGAGTGGGTGGGTTAGTGGGTGGGTGAGTGAGTGCGTGGGTGGGTGGTTGAGTGAGTGAGTGGGTGAGCAGGTGGGTGAGTGAGTGGGTGGGTGAGTGGGTGAGTGAGTGAGTGGGTGGGTGGGTGAGTGGGTGGGTGAGTGGGTGAGTGGATGAGTGGGTGAGTGGGTGGGTGAGTGAGTGAGTGAGTGGGTGGGTGAGTGAGTGGGTGGGTGAGTGGGTGGGTGAGTGGGTGGGTGAGTGGGTGGGTGGGTGGTTGGATGAGTGAGTGGGTGGGTGAGTGAGTGTGTGGGTGGGTGAGTGGATGGGTGGGTGGGTGAGTGGTTGGGTGGGTGGGTGAGTGGGTGGGTGGGTGAGTGAGTGAGTGGGTGGGTGAGTGGGTGGGTGGGTGAGTGGGTGGGTGGGTGAGTGATGGTTGTTGTGTGGTTGTTGTGTAGTGGTGGTGATGGTTGTTGTGTAGGGGTGGTGATGGTTGTTGTGTAGTGGTGGTGATGGTTGTTGTGTGGTGGTGATGGTTGTTGTGTAGTGGTGGTGATGGTTGTTGTGTAGTGGTGGTGATGGCTGTTGTGTAGTGGTGATGATGGTTGTTGTGTGGTGGTGGTGATGGTTGTTGTGTGGTGGTGGTGGTGATGGTTGTTGTGTAGTGGTGGTGATGGTTGTTGTGTGGTTGTTGTGTGGTGGTGGTGATGGTTGTTGTGTGGTGGTGGTGGTGATGGTTGTTGTGTGGTTGTTGTGTTGTGGTGGTGATGGTTCATCTTCTTTGGTTCTTTCGGTAAAGTCACGTAGAATGAGAATAAAATAATAAATTGATAAAATAAAATAACACATTAATATTCTCACGACGTTTCGGCCACAACACAAGCGGCCTTCATCAGGTGAAGGGAGCGAGACTGTCTGGTAGGACAGCGCGACTGTCTGGTAGGACAGCGCTGTCCTACCAGACAGTCTCGCTCCCTTCACCTGATGAAGGCCGCTTGTGTTGTGGCCGAAACGTCGTGAGAATATTATTGTGTTATTTTATTTTATCAATTTATTATTTTATTCTCATTCTACGTGACTTTACCGAAAGAACCAAAGAAGATGAATCATTGCAGTCACGAAAGCTTTAAATCGAAATGTGGTGATGGTTGTTGTGTAGTGGTGGTGATGGTTGTTGTGTGGTGGTGGTGATGGTTGTTGTGTAGTGGTGGTGATGGTGGTTGTGTGGTTGTTTTGTGGTGGTGGTGGTGATGGTTGTTGTGTAGTGGTGGTGATGGTTGTTGTGTGGTGGTGGTGATGGTTGTTGTGTAGTGGTGGTGATGGTTGTTGTGTGGTGGTGGTGGTGATGGTTGTTGTGTAGTGGTGGTGATGGTTGTTGTGTGGTGGTGGTGGTGATGGTTGTTGTGTGGTTGTTGTGTGGTGGTGGTGTAGTGGTGGTGATGGTTGTTGTGTGGTGGTGGTGATGGCTGTTGTGTGGTTGTTGTGTAGTGGTGGTGATGGTTGTTGTGTGGTGGTGATGGTTGTTGTGTAGTGGTGGTGATGGTTGTTGTGTGGTGGTGGTGATGGTTGTTGTGTGGTTGTTGTGTGGTGGTGGTGATGGTTGTTGTGTAGTGGTGGTGATGGTTGTTGTGTGGTGGTGGTTGTTGTGTAGTGGTGATGATGGTTGTTGTGTGGTTGTTGTGTAGCGGTGGTGATGGTTGTTGTGTGGTTGTTGTGCAGTGGTGGTGATGGTTGTTGTGTGGTTGTTGTGTGGTGGTGATGGTTGTTGTGTAGTGGTGGTGATGGTTGTTGTGTGGTGGTGGTGATGGTTGTTGTGTAGTGGTGGTGATGGTTGTTGTGTGGTTGTTGTGTGGTGGTGATGATGGTTGTTGTGTGGTGGTGGTGGTGATGATTGTTGTGTGGTGGTGGTGGTGATGGTTGTTGTTGTGTAGTGGTGGTGATGGTTGTTGTTGTGTAGTGGTGGTGATGGTTGTTGTGTGGTGGTGGTGGTGATGGTTGTTGTGTGGTGGTGGTGGTGATGGTTGTTGTGTGGTGGTAGTGGTGGTGATGGTTGTTGTGTGGTGGTGGTGGTGATGGTTGTTGTGTGGTGGTGGTGGTGATGGTTGTTGTGTGGTGGTGGTGGTGATGGTTGTTGTGTGGTGGTGGTGGTGATGGTTGTTGTTGTGTAGTGGTGGTGATGGTTGTTGTGTGGTGGTGGTGATGGTTGTTGTTGTGTGGTTGTTGTGTGGTGATGGTGGTGATGGTTGTTGTGATGGTTGTTGTGTGGTGGTGGTGATGGTTGTTGTGTAGTGGTGGTGATGGTTGTTGTGTAGTGGTGGTGATGGTTGTTGTGTAGTGGTGGTGATGGTTGTTGTGTGGTGGTGGTGATGGTTGTTGTGTGGTGGTGGTGGTGATGGTTGTTGTTGTGTGGTTGTTGTGCAGAGTTGCGGAGGATGACAGCTGAACTTCTTGAAAGAGGTGAGTTCAGCATCATCATCATCATCAGCAGCATCATCAGCAGCATCATCAACATCAGTAGCATCATCAGTATCATCATCAGCCGTATCATCATCAGTAGCAGTATCATCAGTAGCATCAACATCATCAGTATCATCATCAGCAGTATCATCATCAGTAGCAGTATCATCAGCAGCATCATCATCATCAGTCGCATCAACATCAGTAGCATCATCAGCAGCGGTGGTGTAGTAGAACCTGGCGACCCGGGTTCGATTCCCGTACATGGCCAACACCAGTGACGATTATCTGAACCGGTCCTGGGCCTCCCCTAGGTCGACTCAGCCTCAAATGAGTACCTGGTGCGGTGTGTTAACATCGCCACTGGGGAGACAAAGGCGGCCGGGCGTGGTGCTGGCCACCCACCCCCTCGTGTGCCGTGCCGGTCTTCATAGGTGCTCGCTAACAGCACTTGCCCCTACAGTCTGTTAAGGCTACACGGGGGATCTTTGTGTGTGTGACGCTGTGTGTGTCTGACGCTGTGTGTGTGATGCCGTGTGTGTGTGACACTGTGTGTGTGACACTGTGTGTGTGTGTCACTATGTGTGTGTGTCACTGTGTGTGTGTGTCACTATGTGTGTGTGACACTGTGTGTGTGTATCACTGTGTGTGTGTATGTGTGACACTGTGTGTAACACTGTGTGTGTGTGACACTGTGTGTGTGTGACACTGTGTGTGTGTGACACTGTGTGTGTGTGACACTGTGTGTGTGTGACACTGTGTGTGTGTGACACTGTGTGTGTGTGACACTGTGTGTGTGTATGTGTGTGTGTATGTGTGACACTGTGTGTAACACTGTGTGTGTGTCACTGTGTATGTGTGTCACTGTGTGTGTGTCACTGTGTGTGTCACTGTGTGTCACTGTGTGTCACTGTGTGTGTCACTGTGTGTCACTGTGTGTGTGTGACACTGTGTGTGTGACACTGTGTGTGTGACACTGTGTGTGTCACTGTGTGTGTGTGACACTGTGTGTGTGTCACTGTGTGTGTGTGACACTGTGTGTGTCACTGTGTGTGTGTCACTGTGTGTGTGTCACTGTGTGTGTGTCACTGTGTGTGTGTCACTGTGTGTGTGTGTCACTGTGTGTGTGTGTCACTGTGTGTGTCACTGTGTGTGTGTGACACTGTGTGTGTCACTGTGTGTGTGTGTCACTGTGTGTGTGTGTCACTGTGTGTGTGTCACTGTGTGTGTGTCACTGTGTGTGTGTGACACTGTGTGTGTGACACTGTGTGTGTGACACTGTGTGTGTGTCACTGTGTGTGTGTGTGACACTGTGTGTGTGTCACTGTGTGTGTGTGTGACACTGTGTGTGACACTCCAGGTGAAGGCCTTCATCAAGGAAGACCTGCCTCTATAGCAGCCACAACAGTCGCGGGGTGATGGGGGTGATGGGGGTGATGGTAATGGGGGTGATGGGGGTTATGGGGGTGATGGTGGTGATGGTGGTGATGGGGGTGATGGTAGTGATGGTAGTGATGGGGGTGATGGTAGTGATGGGGGTGATGGTAGTGATGGAGGTGATGGGGTGATGGCAGTGATGGGGGTGATGGCAGTGATGGGGGTGATGGTATTGATGGGGGTGATGGTAGTGATGGAGGTGATTGTGGTGCTGATGCTGCTGATGATGCTGATGATGCTAATGGTGATGATGTTGATAATGATGGTGCTGGTTGTAGTGCTGGTGGTGGTGGTGATGATAATGATGGTGATGATGGTGATGATGGTGGTGGTTGTGATGGTGGTGATGGTGGTAGTGGTGATGATGGTGATGATGTTGGTGGTGTTGGTGGTCACGTGGTTAACTCTTTAACTCAGCGATCACGTCACCAGCAGCCCCCACGTGGTCTTCAAGCACGTGGCTGGGGTAGACCCCACGTGGTGGTGATAATGATGGCGTTGGTGGTCACGTGGTTAACTCTTTAACTCAGCGTGCACGTCACCAGCAGTCCCCACGTGGTCTTCAAGCACGTGGTTGGGGCAGACCCCACGTGGTGATGATGATGGTGGTGTTGGTGGTCACGTGGTTAACTCTTTAACACAGCGTGCACGTCACCAGCGGTCCCCACGTGGTCTTCAAGCACGTGGCTGGGGCAGACCCCACGTGGTGGTGATGATAATGATGGCGTTGGTGGTCACATGGTTAACTCTTTAACTAAGCATGCACGTCACCAGCGGTCCCCACGTGGTCTTCAAGCACGTGGCTGGGGCAGACCCCACGTGGTGGTGATGATGATGGTGGTCACGTGGTTAACTCTTTAACTCAGCGTGCACGTCACCAGCAGTCCCCACGTGGTCTTCAAGCACGTGGCTGGGGTAGACCCCACGTGGTGGTGATGATGATGATGGTGGTCACGTGGTTAACTCTTTAACTCAGCGTGCACGTCACCAGCGGTCCCCACGTGGTCTTCAAGCACGTGGCTGGGGTAGACCCCACGTGGTGGTGATAATGATGGCGTTGGTGGTCACGTGGTTAACTCTTTAACTCAGCATGCACGTCACCAGCGGTCCCCACGTGGTCTTCAAGCACGTGGCTGGGGCAGACCCCACGTGGTGATGATGATGGTGGTGTTGGTGGTCACGTGGTTAACTCTTTAACACAGCGTGCACGTCACCAGCGGTCCCCACGTGGTCTTCAAGCACGTGGCTGGGGCAGACCCCACGTGGTGGTGATGATAATGATGGCGTTGGTGGTCACATGGTTAACTCTTTAACTCAGCATGCACGTCACCAGCGGTCCCCACGTGGTCTTCAAGCACGTGGCTGGGGCAGACCCCACGTGGTGGTGATGATGATGGTGGTCACGTGGTTAACTCTTTAACTCAGCGTGCACGTCACCAGCAGTCCCCACGTGGTCTTCAAGCACGTGGCTGGGGTAGACCCCACGTGGTGGTGATGATGATGATGGTGGTCACGTGGTTAACTCTTTAACTCAGCGTGCACGTCACCAGCGGTCCCCACGTGGTCTTCAAGCACGTGGCTGGGGTAGACCCCACGTGGTGGTGATAATGATGGCGTTGGTGGTCACGTGGTTAACTCTTTAACTCAGCATGCACGTCACCAGCAGTCCCCACGTGGTCTTCAAGCACGTGGCTGGGGTAGACCCCACGTGGTGGTGATAATGATGGCGTTGGTGGTCACGTGGTTAACTCTTTAACTCAGCATGCACGTCACCAGCGGTCCCCACGTGGTCTTCAAGCACGTGGCTGGGGGAGACCCCACGTGGTGGTGATGATGATGGTGGTGTTGGTGGTCACGTGGTTAACTCTTTAACTCAGCGTGCACGTCACCAGCGGTCCCCACGTGGTCTTCAAGCACGTGGCTGGGGTAGACCCCACGTGGTGATGATAATGATGGCGTTGGTGGTCACGTGGTTAACTCTTTAACTCAGCGTGCACGTCACCAGCGGTCCCCACGTGGTCTTCAAGCACGTGGCTGGGGCAGACCCCACGTGGTGATGATGATGGTGGTGTTGGTGGTCACGTGGTTAACTCTTTAACTCAGCGTGCACGTCACCAGCGGTCCCCACGTGGTCTTCAAGCACGTGGCTGGGGCAGACCCCACGTGGTGATGATGATGATGATGATGTTGGTGGTCACGTGGTTAACTCTTTAACTCAGCGTGCACGTCACCAGCGGTCCCCACGTGGTCTTCAAGCACGTGGCTGGGGCAGACCCCACGTGGTGATGATGATGATGGTGATCACGTGGTTAACTCTTTAACTCAGCATGCACGTCACCAGCAGTCCCCACGTGGTCTTCAAGCACGTGGCTGGGGCAGACCCCACGTGGTGGTGATGATGATGATGATGGTGGTCACGTGGTTAACTTTTTAACTCAGCGTGCACGTCACCAGCAGTCCCCACGTGGTCTTCAAGCACGTGGCTGGGGTAGACCCCACGTGGTGGTGATAATGATGGCGTTGGTGGTCACGTGGTTAACTCTTTAACTCAGCATGCACGTCACCAGCGGTCCCCACGTGGTCTTCAAGCACGTGGCTGGGGCAGATCCGACGCTCGTTCTGCTGGACCCTCACCAGCGCCAGCTCCAGGTGACAGCCCCTGCCGTGTGTCACACCACGTGTCACACCACGTGTCACACCACGTGTGTCGTGTGTCACACCACGTGTGTCACACTGTGTGTGTCACACTGTGTGTGTCACACCACGTGTGTCACACCACGTGTGTCACACCACGTGTGTCTCTCTCCGTGTGTCTCTCTCCGTGTCTCACTCCGTGTGTCTCACTCCGTGTGTCTCACTCCGTGTGTCTCCGTGTCTCACTCCGCGTGTCTCTCTCCGTGTGTCTCTCTCCGTGTGTCTCACTCCGCGTGTCTCTCTCCTCGTGTCTCACTCCGTGTGTCTCACTCCGTGTGTCTCTCCCCGTGTCTCTCTCCGTGTCTCTCTGCGTGTGTCTCTCTCCGTGTGTCTCTCTCCGTGTGTCTCTCTCCGTGTGTCTCACTCCGAGTGTCTCCGTGTCTCACTCCGAGTGTCTCACTCTGTGTCTCACTCCGCGTGTCTCTCTCCGTGTGTCTCTCTCCGTGTGTCTCTCTCCGTGTGTCTCACTCCGTGTGTCTCTCTCCGTGTGTCTCTCTCCGTGTGTCTCTCTCCGTGTGTCTCTCTCCGTGTGTCTCTCTCCGTGTGTCTCACTCCGCGTGTCTCCGTGTCTCACTCCGTGTCTCACTCTGTGTGTCTCTCTCCGTGTCTCTCTCCGTGTGTCTCTCTCCGTGTGTCTCACTCCGCGTGTCTCCGTGTCTCACTCCGTGTCTCACTCCGTGTGTCTCTCTCCGTGTGTCTCACTCCGTGTGTCTCACTCCGAGTGTCTCACTCCATGTGTCTCACTCCGTGTGTTTCTGTGTGTGTCACTCCGAGTGTCTCACTCCGAGTGTCTCTCTCCGTGTGTCTCCGTGTGTCTCACTCCGTGTGTCTCTCTCCGTGTGTCTCTCCCCGTGTGTCTCTCCCCGTGTGTCTCTCTCCGCGTGTCTCTCTCCGTGTGTCTCTCTCTGTGTGTGTCACTCCGAGTGTCTCACTCCGTGTGTCTCTCTCCGTGTGTCTCTCCCCGTGTGTCTCTCCCCGTGTGTCTCTCTCCGCGTGTCTCTCTCCGTGTGTCTCTCCCCGTGTGTCTCTCCCCGTGTGTCTCCGTGTCTCACTCTGTCTCTCTCCGCGTGTCTCACTCCGCGTGTCTCTCCCCGTGTGTCTCCGTGTCTCACTCTGAGTCTTTCTCCGTGTGTCTCTCTCCGTGTGTCTCACTCCGCGTGTCTCACTCCGTGTGTCTTTCTCCGTGTGTCTCACTCCCCGTGTCTCTCCCCGTGTCTCCCTCCGTGTGTCTCTCTCCGTGTGTCTCTCTCCGTGTGTCTCTCTCCTTGTGTCTCTCTCCGTGTGTCTCCGTGTGTCTCTCTCCGTGTGTCTCCGTGTCTCACTCCGTGTGTCTCTCCCCGTGTGTCTCTCCCCGTGTGTCTCTCTCCGTGTGTCTCTCTCCGTGTGTCTCTATCCGCGTGTGTCTCTCTCCGTGTGTCTCACTCTGTGTCTCCGAGTGTCTCCGTGTCTCTCTCCGTGTGTCTCTCTCCGTGTGTCTCTCTCCGTGTGTCTCTCTCCGTGTGTCTCACTCTGTGTGTCTCACTCTGTCTCTCTCCGTGTGTCTCTCTCCGTGTGTCTCTCTCCGTGTGTATCTCTCCGTGTGTCTCACTCCGTGTGTCTCTCTCCGTGTGTCTCTCTCCGTGTGTCTCTCTCCGTGTGTCTCACTCCGTATGTCTCTCTCCGTGTGTCTCACTCCGTGTGTCTCTCTCTGTGTGTCTCACTCCGTGTGTCTCACTCCGTGTGTCTCTCTCCGTGTGTCTCACTCCGTGTGTCTCTCTCCGTGTGTCTCACTCCGTGTCTCACTCCGTGTGTCTCACTCCGCGTGTCTCTCCCCGTGTGTCTCTCTCCGAGTGTCTCACTCCGAGTGTCTCACTCCGTGTGTCTCTCTCCGTGTGTCTCTCCCCGTGTGTCTCTCCCCGTGTGTCTCTCTCCGTGTGTCTCTCTCCGTGTGTCTCTCTCCGTGTGTCTCACTCTGTGTCTCCGAGTGTCTCCGTGTCTCTCTCCGTGTGTCTCTCTCCGTGTGTCTCTCTCCGTGTGTCTCTCTCCGTGTGTCTCACTCTGTGTGTCTCACTCTGTCTCTCTCCGTGTGTCTCTCTCCGTGTGTATCTCTCCGTGTGTCTCACTCCGTGTGTCTCTCTCCGTGTGTCTCTCTCCGTGTGTCTCTCTCCGTGTGTCTCTCTCTGTGTGTCTCTCTCCGTGTGTCTCACTCCGTGTGTCTCTCCCCGCGTGTCTCTCTCCGTGTGTCTCTCCCCGTGTGTATCTCTCCGTGTGTCTCACTCCGTGTGTCTCTC